CCCCCCCCGTCCCATCTTCTAATGATGTTCTGTGACAAATATTAGCTAGATATATAACAGCGATTTACATTATTAATTCTGTTAGCGTCCCATTAGCGGCTTGTCTGTAACATTCTCTCTGACATCTGACTGTAACATCTTTATCATTATCAATAAGAGCACAGTCACACTAGGAAAAACAATGGTTGGAGATCACGGTGTGACCGTATGCAGTCACCTTGTGATCTCTGTGAAGCTTTGAGATGGTCACTTTGAAGACAGAAAGTAGTTATTAGAGGAACCACTCCTACTCAGCTGCTGTCTTCAGGCCAACATTGGTGGATTAAGATGTGATAAAGGGTTGATCAATTAGTAAGAAGATTTTCATATTTTGGAGTTCTGTATCCACAGTAAGAAAGCGTCGCTATGAGGGCATCTCTAAAGAATTACTAGGTAAATGGTTCTAGAGCTGCTTTAATGGACCCATAAAGAAGAACAGACACACTCCTGAATGAAAGAATCAACACCCGTGGTCCATGGTGATGTGATACAGAGTTGAGTCATTTTCATTTTATTCCCTCAGACTCTGAAAGATTGCCTTTGATCTCAGTGAATGGAGCAAGACTCCTTCCCAAGTTCACAGTTGAGGCAGGAATGCAGAAGAAAAATCCTTCATCAAAGCGGTCTGTTTTCTTAAGAATCTACTGAGTATAAATTTTTATCACTTCTTTCTTTAAACTGGCCGCATTTTCTGTTGTTGCAGTTTGACACATACATGGCACAGCTGGATTTAGTTCTTGTGTGGTAAACATTTGTCTTGTATTTGGAGAATGCGTAAGTCTTTGCACGCATTAATTGAACCCATTTAACATATTGTGACGTTCAAACATTCTAAAACACTGACATGGCCACATTAATAGCTGCATGTTGGCAGAGATACATTTTGCATTATGGCCTATTGAGGGAAGTAAAAGAAGGAAATATGAATGTAGCTCTGTGTGTGCGCACACGTTTTTGTTGTGTACTGATCTCTGTGAAGAATAAAGACTTTTAAAGCCACTCTGCTCTAAAAGGCAATAGGACCTTGCATCCACAGTGTGTTGGGATTCTCCTTCTTCCTCTCCTTGATGCTCCATCAAGTTCAGTTTTGCTCAGTTTAAGTCAAATCCCAGTATTTGTCTTGATGCATGCTCAATATTCTAGTTAAGGAAATCCCCAAAAAGTTGATTCTGTTCATCTGGACGTTTTCAGTGGGAGAAACGTTTCGTCATCATAAGGTGACTTCTTCAGTCTCAGCTGACTGCAGGTTTCCAACCTTATAAACAGTACATTTGCACAATAACTGAAACTAGCCCACTGAATTTCTCTCTGTGAATGGTACTCATGGCTACTGATCAATAGTGGTTGACCAATGGTCATGACAAGTTGCATATAATTGATCAAGGAACTGACCTCGCAGCCCATTATTCAGTGGGCTGGTTTTAGTCATTGTGCAAATGTGCTGTTAGGTTTTGTATTGTTGATTGTCATTTATGCTTAGAAATATCTACTTATATATGCTTAGAGTTTTATAATTAGTTGTAGATTGGTAGAGGTTTGATCCTTGATAGTCTGCAAACTTTGTGTGCATTAGAGAGCACTCTGGGAGCATGGGAGAGGTCGTACCTTGTCTTATTGTTTTATGGTAGGATAAACGTATCTATATCTGTTTTAGGCTAAGTGCCTTTTGTTTAGATGAACTGCTGGACTTCCAGACCAGCAGGTTTAGGGAAGTCATTTATGGGGTCACACTCTGACCCCACACACACACACTTACACAACACACAGGCAACGTACTCTTTGTTTGTATGTAGACGTCATATGTTAAATATGTTAATGAACCTATGTATATTCATGTAACCTCAATAAAAGAGCAGTGTTACGGGGGAGTGGACGAGAGCAACTGGGGTCAAGCGAAGGAACGGCGTTTGTCCGGTTCTCTCCCGTGCACGAGAAACATGAAGAACTTTGCCTACTTCGTGTCTTGCTTGCTGTGTAATTATATTGTCTTCAACGTTCCAGCGAATAGGTTTGTAGCTTGAACCTATCATGTACTGTTTATAAGGTTGGAAACCTGCAGTGACTTGAGACTGAAGAAGTCACCTGATGATGACAAAACGTTTCTCACTGAAAACGTCCAGACGAACAGAATCAACTTTTTCAGAAGTCCCAGTATCACTGTGGAGCAGGGATATGTTAGGGTTAACGCTCAAAGTGAGTACTGAGTAAAGTGCGACAGGACAGAGCCAAAGTTTTAAGGCTGAGTAATTTATCCATGTTGGCAATCTGTCTGTGTTTATAAGTTAGATGATTGAGTGATAGGTTGCCGGATTACTTACAATGATCGTGGGCTCAAGAGTTGGGAGTTCGCCTTGTAATCGGAAGGTTGCCGGTTCGAGTCCCGGCTTGGACAGTCTCGGTCGTTGTGTCCTTGGGCAAGACACTTCACCCGTTGCCTACTGGTGGTGGTCAGAGGGCCCGGTGGCGCTAGTGTCCGGCAGCCTCGCCTCTGTCAGTGCGCCCCAGGGTGGCTGTGGCTACAATGTAGCTTGCGATCACCAGTGTGTGGATGACTGGATATGTAAAGCGCTTTGGGGTCCTTAGGGACTAGTAAAGCGCTATATAAATACAGGCCATTTACCATTTACAATCAGCCCCAGACGTGAAAAGAATTCAGTGCAGTCATTGGCTGATTTCTCCTGGTCACATGAAGGTTACTCTCCTGTTTTTTTCCTCTAGTATGACTGAGGCCATAGTTTCACAGAGAATATAGATAATATTCATCAGTAATTTCAGTAAGTTAGCTCTGATATTTTATTTTTGTTTGTTTTAACTGTTGTTGTTTTTTTTTATTCTTTTCCATTTTTGAAACTTCTATGTGAAACTCTGATGTAGACCTCTCCATCAGCTGCACATTGTGTTTACAGCTGATTAGCATGTTGTGTATCCTGTGCTGTTGCATTTATATTAAACCTATTTAACGTGAATCCTCCGCAGTACTGATGTGTTCATAGGTGCTCACCTGTGGAAGAAGTATTCTCAACCTCCGCTGATGTACAAATATCAAGTAAAAGTACTGCATTACATGTAGGGTTTTTCAGTCCTGGTTTGTTCACCGTGACTGATGATTGATTATGTATGACTTTGTTAGATAACCAATGAGGAAACGTGTTAATGCTGCAGGTGGAGTGGGATTGATATTCACTTTTTTCTGATTTTTGGATCATATGAACTTTTATTGAAATGACACTATGAGAGAAGCTCAGAGAAAAAAGTCACAGGACAGCAGCTGAAACCTTTTACCCAGGGGTGTCAAACTTAAATGAGCTGTGTGCCACTCCTGGCACTGTCGTCTCATTGGAGGGCCACTTTAATGTTCAAGTAGTACAAAACAAACAAACAAGAAAACACCCACAAATATTTCCTAATATGTAGTGTTTGTTTGTTTGGTTTTTAAAAAAAATTCAAATATTGTATATTGACAAGACAATTTTTTTCTCTCTCTCTTAACTAACGGAAGCCTTTCATTGAATGACCAAATAAACATGTTGGTCCTCTCTTTCTGGCTAGACATGTGGCAGCACTTCTGCTATCATTTTGTTCATATTTAACAGAATAAAAATGCAGTGTACACATTAGTTTTTGACTCTCACTGAACTAACACAGCCAATCCCTCAGCATGTTTGTACTCTGGTCACATTGCCTTGCTGTCCATTTTTGGCTTTTTAAAGAACTTGTTTTAACATTGCACTCAACAACAAACAAATCCTCCCTAACAAAAAAAGTAACTTCACAGATCAAACTGCATTATATTTCTTCACATTAACATAGGGAGCCCCCCACCCCGGGCCACGAGTTTGAGACCCCTGCTTTAACCAATAAGAACACAGCAACAATTTGTGGGTGGACTCTTTTACTGAATCAATCAGGTGGCAGGATGAGATCATCAGTCTACACAGTTCTCAATAGATACAGGTAGAATCAGACTCCCCTGTCTCTGATGAGGTCCTGATGTATTCTGGGTAATGTCCTGAAGCTGAATGGAAACTCTTTTCTGAATGCTGACTGGCTAATGGCCTAGTGGAGGTATGATGATGTCATCATCTTCAGTCTCGTCCCGATTGGACGCTGAAAGAGTTCGACTTCCTGTTTCTGCAAAATATGAGAAAATGAAACCAGATCAGACTTCTTACTCAGTAGCCCTGAGATCAGCTCAAAGGTCAATCAATAATCAATAACTTTATTGCTTTGCGTTCATCTGTATGGGCAAAGAAAACCGCCATCATGGTGGTTAGAAAATAAAAGGTGGGGCCTCCTAAGGAGCTGAATTCTGGATCATGGTGAAGGATTTATGTTTAAACTTTAAACAGGAGTGTAATGGGAAAAGATAATAAAGTGTAGATAAAAAATAAACTGTGGATCAAACAGTTTACAATGTGGTTCTTATCTCATGGTAATTCTGTGGTGTCCACAGATGGCTGTTTCTGTCCTCTAATAGATTGACTACTGAAAACTTTGGACAGTCACCGAAGTTTAAACCATTGTTTAATATTTGCAAAGATTTAAACATCAGTAGAAATTTGCCCTTACATTAACTGTCCTTACATTAACTGTATGGAGGAAGAAATAAATAACAGAGCTCTCTGAAAGTTATCCTCAATGATCCTCAAAACTGTTTGGTCCCAAAGCACCTGAACTCACTTTTTCTAATTCCATGTTGTGGAACAGGACCCAGGTTTATGCTAGAACAAAGAACTTACATGGATAGCTTCCTGGACTGGCCTTCCTTCATGCCGCACCCCCGATCCATTGTTTTACTGCGCTGATCCAAGGTACTGGTCCTGTGGTCTCTCTGCTCTAGAGTACTGGTCCTGTGGTCTCGCTGATCCAAGGTACTGGTTCTGTGGTCTCTCTGGTCCAATGTACTGGTTCTGTGATCCACTATATTGTTCCTGT